AGACCACTTTATATAATATATGCTCGGTATTACTATCAGCCATACTTTCTCTTGAGAAAATAGTGTCTGAGCTGCTTCGCAAAACTCGGATTCTTGTGCCGTGCGGAAATCTACTTTACATCTCAACAGCTTCTCTCGATCTACAAAGCTCAGATACGGCCCTCTAGAGAATGCTGCTCTCATACCTCTAAGATTCCATCCAGAGAAGTGCCACTCGCCTGGTGGGTGATGCCGCACTCACTAATGGAAGTATTTCCAAGTACGTTAAAGCTCCAAGAGTTCGAAAAGGATTCCTACACCTACCTGCTCTTCGTATCCTTCCTAGGTATGCACGATGTTCCACGAACATTATGAAAATTTCCTTCAGTGCAATCCAGAAGGTGAAAACAAATCAAACTTTTTCTTGTGATACTTTCCTCAAACTCAATTGGCCAACTCACCTAGTATTGGGGAAAGGGTCTTGCTTCACCCTCATGGGATCCTTCCTGAATATAAGTATTTATATCCTGTCATATATCTCTATAGTTTTTTAAATTCCTTATGTTTGAAAATGTACAACATGATATATCATACGGTGATAGCGATAACGTTGAGAATATACCCATCTGAAATTCTGTTGAAGTTGAGTTTATAGTGATTGAACATAATATCAGAATGCAATATTGAAAAAAACATATATCAGAAAATATCCTATGGATCCTCTTGAATCCAAAACGATTTCGAGAAAACTCATGATGCTTTGTCGAATTGCCCTCAATCAAACATAAAAATAATTCCCTGTCTTTTTGAAAATTCTCACATCTTCAGATATCACCCTGTGGATATTCATCTCAGAACGGTACTCAATAAAATATCAGAATCTCAAGAGGAATTGGGAATTGGTTGATCCAATGCAAAGTAAAGACGATTCGAAAATGGAAGAAACTTTTCCTTATCTCACGCACTTCAAAATGTGGGGCAATTTATTCTCGATGAAAATTCCTAATAAAATGGATGATGGATTGGAGCATGATGAATACTGCAGAATGTTACCAGAAGTGCATCCATTCCATTGAAAAAGAGTATAAATAATGTTGGCATCTTGGACCAAAATCCTCCATAATACATTGTGTCGAGAAGAATTAATAGGCCTGTTCGTTTGTGTTTGCTCTACCCGCTCAACATGATTATTTTGTACGACTTTCTCTGTTTACATCATGTCATGCACAGATACAGCTATGGAAACAAAATATACTTCAGCAAAATCAGCAATGCAAACAAACAGAGCTGATGAGTAAACAAACCCTATAGTTTTGCCTCTCATCTGAAAGTATTAAGTCACCCAACACTTTTTCACTATCGGAATTTCATGATTCTCAGATTTCCAGTAGATATAATTCTAGAGATATTCACGTATCCATTGAAGAAAAAAACATAACTTCAAGAAGGGAAGGAATAGTTCAATGTGAGCGTAGATAATCACATGAGGGACCTTATTATAATAATTCTCTACGGATATATCATCTTTTGTGGATAAATAAAGGAGGTAAATCTCTTGTGATATGTTCAGATGGCCATAGGAAATATTAGAAACCCTGTTTTTGTCCTGGCAATGTTCGCAATAGTATTCAGTATTTTGTCGTGGATTGGCAATTGGCATACTGCGTACAGAAAATATTTGCATGGATTCGGTTTTTGGAATATTTTTCTCCTTATAAGAGATCTTCATAGCAGGAGTTTCGTCTCGAACCTGGCAGAATACAGGAAGAACGACATTGGGATATGAAACCTTCTTTGACAGCTGATCCAATAATTCTATTACTTATCATAAGTATAATATCACGATGTTCTGAATATTCGAGATAATTCTGTCGCTTCATTGTTCACACTGTTGCGTACAGCCAGTTGGGGGTCGCCAACTTCTTGAATATTTCGAAATATTGTCTTGATCTTACGACAAGATCATGAAAAGGAGTAACTTTAGATCTCAAGACAAGACAAGACATTTTATTTCGATACCAGATTTCTCGACAAGAAAACAAGAAAGCTTCAAATTTCTTGAATATGGATGAGAAAGCGAAAACGTGCGTTTATCATTTCACAAAGTGACATCATTGCATTGCATTGCGCGAAGTCGTTTTCTCACCACCAGATTGTTGTCTTAGCACGCGACAGGGTTGCAGGTTCTACTGAATTTTCAGGAGATCTCCTGACTTGCATATTGATCAACTGATCTACTGAAACATTCATAATCTACTGAAAAAAATCATGACACTCATTCATTATTATAATTACCTATTGATATTGATCTAGTCAATCACATAGACTCATAATATCTTGGGTGATATTTGGGAACGCTCTGTAAATTAATTTTCTGGTGCCACTGATTATAAATTCGAATGAGTCTGAGCTGATATGTTGATAAATAAGTGATTTCATGAAGAGTGACATTTTGTTACATGTCAACGTGGATAAAATGTCAAACTTTTTTCCTGTCACAAGAAAATAGATATTTTATTGACGTCATAGGTACATTTCATTATCCTGTGATTTGTATAGCATAATATAAATCAACTGAAATCTACTCAATTTCTGACAAGGTATATCTACTGATGAAATAAAAATTGAGATGGCAACCCTGGCACGTGACGCAATAAAAAGTTTGCCGGGGAATCCCCATGTACAGGGTGATTCGCCATAAATGTCCCCCCCTCTAGCTCAGTTATTTTTGAACCGATTGCAAAATTTTAAATATACTCTAAAATGATTTTCGATTAAGTTTTTTTCCACTACATCAGAAAATACAAGGTGCTCGGAACAAACGATCTACAGGGCAGTTTTTGATTTTTTTTAATAGAACACCCTATTTTTCGTTGAATTTTCAGATTCACCCTGAAGAGCTGATTTCATCAATGTATCACACTTGGGGTCTAGCGAAAATGATTACAGAGATATAGGGTGTTCAAAATCGAGATTTTTCAACTTCAGGATTCTTCTGTGTGACGAAACTATTAATTATCGGTCAAAACGGCTTCCATGTCCGTATCTCAACTTTTGATTCACTATCTACTGACATTTAATAATTGGAACAGATACAGGGTGATCAGAATTCTGAATCTTGAATCACACTGTATATGTTCCAATTGAATGTCAGTAGATAGTAAATCAAAAGTTGTGATAAGGACATGAAAGCCGTTTTGACCAATAATGAATAGTTTCGACACAAAAAAATCCTAAAGTTGAAAAATTTCGATTTTGAACACCCCATATCTCTGTGATCATTCCCGCTAGACCCCAAGTGTGATATATTAATGGAATCAGCTCTTCTAGGAGAATATAAAAATACAATGGAATACAGGGTGTTCCATTTGAAAAAATCAAGTAGTACTCTGTAGATCGTTTGGTCCGAGCACCCTGTATTTTCTGATGCAACGGGAAAAAAAATTCTGAAAAATCATTTAAGATGATTTTTCAAATTTTCAAAACGGTTCAAAAATAAGTGAGTTAGAGGGGGGGACATTTATGGTGAATCACCTTGTACGGTGTCACCGGTCAATCAAGAAATTCCAAGATCTTGAAATTTCTTGACTCAAGACAAGAAATGATATGTCAAGAAAAACTTGAAGACAAGATAGATGAAATGAAATTCTCAGAAATTTCTTGACTTCTTCTCAAGACAAGAATTCTCGTCTTGGCGACCCCTCAATACCACTTGCTCGGCATCACAAGGCATCGACAGCTAGGTCATTAGCCTTTGATTCTACCATTTTTTTTATATTTCGGTATATAAACCCATTGTTTTCAAGAATTCTATAACATCTCTCATTCTTCCAATGCTCAAGCAATCTTTCATACTTTTAGGAAGCTTGTCCCTACGACCGTTTTCATGCTGCTGACAGTGTCACTTGACCGTCAATGAGGTTCGACAGGTCTCACATCTGGGTTGTCTTTTCCTTGTTTGCATATAACTAGAGTTAATTCTAGTGTGACCTATTCTGAGCCAGATAATGATAACTTGGTCTTTCCTTGTGAGTTCATGTGGATATCTTATGTATGCAGTGTCTGGTTTGACATGTTTCAATTTTGATTCGTGGTTCATCCACTCATTCCTCTGAGTTTGCGTCTCTTTCAATGGTTACATCGTTGAAAACACCAACGGTGATAGAATCGGAATTGAAACATAGCTAGTGTTTTCGCTTATGATTAGTCAGAATATGTGATGAGTGGAATAGTCATCAAAGCTTACATCCGAACGTCAATGAACGCAGTGGGCTACGCCACGAAACTTGTAATTCGTTTTAATATCGTATGCTTCCTTCTCAACGATATATTTTGTAAACAAATAACCAGATATTATCCAATTGAAAACAACACCTGCAATCAACTTGCAGTCATTGATTATTCACTACTTTTGTCATTTTTGTCATGGAAACAATGTTTCTGTAAGGTCCCCAATGTTAATGATGTTTCACTCTGATGATTCAATGGAGAATTTATTATCGTTGTTTGCTTCATGGAAGATGGAGAAGAAATCCCAAGGAATCTACAGAAATTATAGACAGGAGTATCAATTGAAAAAAATTGTATTCTTCGTCCAACCTCAAAAACGCGACACTCAACTATTTTTTTCATCATATCATCTTATAGAGCGTTGAAGATACTGGTTGCTTCCTATTATTAACAATGTTGTATCTTTGATACTAACAAAGTTACCAATGGAGTTGCAAAACTATTTAACGAGAGTTCATTTTATTAGCCTCTGAAGTTATCGTTACCGCGGTGCGTTTTTCTACGTGTTGTTGAAAATCGATAGGTATTACAAATAAATAAAAATAACTTGTGGTTTAATTGTCCTACACGACTGCGAACTTTTCGATAAGGAATTTATCGTCTTTCACTGGCGCTATTGCGGTTTCTAGATATATCAGTTTCCTGTAAATATTTAGATACCACTAAATGGGACCACTAGTTCAGAGACCTAACCTCAAGGTGTCGATTTATACCTACTTTGCGGGAAGAAGATGCTGAAAAGCAGTGGTAATTCCAGATATGATGTCACTGTGAGTATCGTCATTGCTGATTCCATGTTGATATTCTGTTTTATTGATCAATCTTCATCATTGTGGTGATGATATTATATATAAGAGTTGTCTGTAGCTATAACTAATTCCAGGACCCTTAGTGTCATTACGATACATTGGGACTTTTCATCTCGGGATGTTTCTGAATCTCCTTTCCATTTCGCAGTAGGAATTTTTACAATAGTGTCATGCATACCTTAAGATTTCTTTCCAGAAATCTGTGAAGGCATTCATTATTACAAAAAACTGTTTTTATGCATTTCGATGTTAATTGAAAGAATAATTATCGGTGAACAAACAGTTTTACTATTTCGATAATATTGCGATACTATCGTACAATTTTTCTATATGTCAATTATAATATCCATATAAGCATTACGCCCCTCTTGATGATTACTGAATTGTTACGTGACATATAATAGTTATTTGTTGTACTAGGCAGAAAAGTACAAGATTTAAAGTCATTACATCTTCTTTTCTGCCATGTGTAACATATAATTTTTTTATCCAAATTTGTTTCAAATTCACACAAAGTCCGAATAATCCATAGATTTGTGTTCACCCAAAGTCATTGTCAATAGAGTCTATACTCTCTATTACATTTTTTCCACCATTAGAAATATATTTCAATCTTAATAGTTCTGTTCAACTGAAATATGGACCTATGTTACTATGAAAGCACCTCATTTCAATTCCAATTCAAATCTAGCAGCCATGACCATGACAGCAAAAGACAAGTCGTCATTGATAAATACATACTAGATTTGAGTACCATTCTTGCGAAACTCGAATCGTTCATTAGAACAGAGGTCATTATTCACTAGTGATTCATAAATAAATGATGAAAACTACCTTGGTATAGTGAGAAGATACTATTTGCCTTGAAAAGTAGTAAATAATGGTAGATTCTATAGCTAGTGGTTGAAAAATTTTTGTATGTCGTATCATGTGCTCAAAATGTGTTCCATGAAAAACTATTTTCTTGCTATAACACAAAATTGCTCTTGTTTTACAGTTTTAGATAAATCAGTGAGGTAATTTTTATGTCTTCAATTCAATTTTCTTATCTGATAACACAATGACTTCATTGTGTTATCATTTTACAATGAACGTCATCTCCCATGAATTGTAAAATCTCGAGCAGAGACAGTTTTCAATAGGGGCGAAATGTTCATAGATGATTTTCATTTTGAATTCACCGTACGAATATCGTAATTATCGTAAGCTCGTTGTTCACTAAAATAGATCCATTTTTTGAAATGTGTCAATATGAATACCCAGTATATATACCTACCTGAACTTGATGTTTTCCTTCAAGCTGTTTGGTTGCTGTATCATAATCATAATGAGGGAATCAACTAAGAGTTCAGATATAGGTATTCCACGAATTGATATGTGAATAGAATTCGATAACAGCGGTCGGTAGAGTGAACTTTACGGCCCGTGGGCGATAAATGGCCATCAGACTCTTGTGTATATACTTCAAGGATCATGAATTATTTGATCAATGGAAGTTGAAAAATGAAATAATAGACATAGATGAGACCGTGTTATTGGCGTACTTTCAAGATTTGGTTAGTAATATTATGAACTACGGAAAAAAACAATTAACGGACTTTATGATTCATAATGCTCTCCATAATGCCCTGGGCGTTATGGATCTGTTAATAGCAACCGTTGCCAATAAGGTATTGCATAAAGCAGTAATGGACGAGTGAAAAATAATTGCTATTCGCGATAGAAAATAGCGCGTCGCCCCCACCGCCCCACCTGACGGCAACAACTTGAACACTTCTGAGCGGTTTGTTTTGATGATATGACCAATAAGCACTAACAAGAAACAAATGTGAACCAATGAAAATAAAGTAAACATGCCGCTTTGACAGCTTTCAAGAACTTCGATAGGTATGGCGTACGCTTATTTTCTAACGCGAATTGAGGTTCTCCATCACTTACCTAAATAAAAATCAATAAAATTGAAACATGACATTGTCCTATATATTATACATTATACAGGGTGTAAATTTGAAAACTTCCAATGCGAATATCTCGCGAAAGAAAAAAGTTAGAAAAACGCCGTTTGGCAAAAATGCTACAGAGTTAAGGGGAACTAGAACCACCATATTTCGGTCAAGGGATGAGTCACCCCGTCGGCGCGACAGACCTCAACTTTGAAATGTCAAATGGCACTACCTCTTTTGTGATGCCTCAAATGAACAGTCTCAGTCTTTAGTATTCACCTGGTCAAGACTTTTTTTCCACCCACTACAGGGTGTACGAAAAATATAAAGTCGAATAAAATAAAAAGAATTGTGTTAAAAGGATATTTTATTTGATCAGATGTTCAAAATGCATTCCATTCTGTTGTAAGCAATAGTATAATCGATGTTTAAATGCCATTCTAACATTTTGGAACAAATCTCTTGGAATATATCGGCATTCTGCATTTCATCTTATTCGACTTTATGTTTTCCGTTCACCCTGTAGTGGGTGGAAAATAAGTCTTGTACAGGTGAATACTACTGACTGAGACCGTTCATTTGCGGTATCACAAAAGAGGTAGTGCCATTTGACATTTCAAAGATGAAGTGTGTCGCGCCGACGGGGTGACTCATCCCTTTACTGAAGTATGGTGGTTCTAGTTCCCCCTAACTCTGTAGCATTTGTGCCAAACGGCGTTTTCCTAACTTTTTTATTCAGCGAGATATTCGCATTGAAAGTTATCAAATTCAGACCCTCGACTTAATGTTTTTCGTACACCCTGTAGTGGGTGGAAAAAAAGTCTGGTACAGGTGAATACTACTGACTGAGACCGTTCATTTGAGGTATCACAAAAGAGGTAGTGCCATTTGACATTTCAAAGTTGCGGTGTGTTGCGCTGACAGGGTGACTCATTCCTTCACTGAAATATGGTGGTTCTAGTTCCCCTTAACTCTTTAGCATTTTTGCCAAGCGGCGTTTTTCTAACTTTTTTATTTCGCGAGATATTCGCATTGAAAGTTTTCAAATTTACACCCTGTATATGATTAGGTTTTCAAAGTCAATATATCATTAGGTATAAATACTATCACCTGATGCATCGATGACTGTAACGATATTTCGAAACTCGATTATTTCGAAAAAAAAAAACATCGGTATTTATCAGTGAACTTCGAAATACATGTAATTGTACTAGTAGTCATAATTTCATTTATTCATGATTCATGTTATAACGCATACACCAATAATATACGTTTATTTAATTAATACAATTCCACAACTCTGTTTCAATTGAATTTTTTTGAAGTAGACATACTATGGATACTCCATATTGAATAGATGATCTGAGTACAAAGAGGAAATTGGTATATTCGAAATGGAATTACTTCTATTTGCATTGCAGTAGCGTAATTGAAAATATCATATCCACCCACATCATATTGAAGAAATTAATTCGATTGCGAACTTCATTGAATTTATATTGCTCAAAGTGCATTTTCTCTGCTGTGAGAATTTTCCCGATTTAATATGTGAAATTGGAATTGCTGGGATTGAATACAGTGCTCAAACTGGTGTAGCTCTGTTATAATTCATGTGTGCATTAATCGATAGACACGAGAAAAATTATTTCTTTGGCATCGCCTAACTAGGGAATTTCGATTAAATTAATTGGTTTCATCAGCTTCCATCCGCAGAACACATACACAGTGTGAATATTTATTGAGTCTTCAATCAGTTCAATAATGGTATATCGGAGCATGCCTCGAAGTTAGATGAATATTTTTTACTCCTAAAACTATATAATCTCCACAAAATTTCTAGGAACAATATGTTTCATTTCTCAGAGTGAAATACTGGTGCAATGAACTAACCTAATATAGACTTGCCCAATTGATACAATAATTGTATGAACTTTTGATAAATTTGAATAACCTGTGAGAAGGACAGCTAATCCTACAGTATATTTTACATATAAATCTTCATTCAAATTTGGTGTGACCGATTTCTAATGATCGCGAAAGTTGCTTCACAAGAACTCGTGATTTTATTCGGAGCGCAAAACTAATTTATTCCTCACCAACTTCCTATGACCTACAAAGCATAAATACGGCCCGTTTTACAAAAGTGATATCCTTCCGTGCGCTCCAAAATATGGAGACATAAAAATCTTGAATATCTTCAAATAATCTTTGATGCTCAGGATCTTGGTTTGTTATACTTTTTTGTCATCGCACGGAACGATTCGAATTATCCAGATACCTCCTAATATTATGAAGGGGAAATATTTGATTGTTTGTTTGTATTGACTAGGCTCCGAACCTACTCCAACGTTTTGGAGAATTCTTTCACCATTAGAAGCCCACATTATCCCTGATCAACATTGGCAATTTATTATCGCGAAACAATGCTTGATTCTTGAAGAAAAACGGGTAATAGGGCAACGGGTAGTAAGAATTATATCCTTGCGTACTTATCTTTCTATATAAACGGCTGATCCGACTGGGATGAATATTTCCCTCATGTAATTTCACTGCAGAGTGAAGATAGCACTGCGAAGAGATCCTGTCGCCATAACAACACATTTATAAAGCCATGTCGCTGGACGCCAGTAAACAATACAAATAAATGTCAGATAGACTTCAAAAAGTGTTAAAAATGTGAGTTGTCCATTCAATATATCTAGGAATGTATAAATGAAAGTGAACCAAAAAATACCAAAATCTAACAGACAGAATGCCTCACTGCTTGAAATATTCCATTGAATTACATTCGTGCATAAAAATTACCAGACAATTTTGCATTCAATCGTGATATTTTATACAAATTCCATTCGTTTATTTTCATATTTTGTAAAAGAGGCCTCTTCCTTCGGACTCGGGCTCATTTTCCAAAATATGAAAATAAACTCTTGCAATGGGCTTATATCACAAAAAAATTGTATTTCATAATTCGATAGAACTCACCCAAACTAGCTCATCACCGCAAACCGTTTCTTGCTG